CTTGGGAGCTGAATATAATCTTCCCTGCCGCGGCTTCCCAGAGCGCTGCTGTGTCAGGTGGGGTTTTTTTTCCCCTGGCCTTTTATTCTAAGTAAATCAACCACCTTGTAGAGGGGAGGAAGGAAACATCCACTGATCCCCCCAGTAATGAATTGCACACAGCTGATCCTCTGCAGGGCAAACTGATAAAAATGCTTGAAGGGGAATTCTCTTTGCCTGGGCTGGTCCTGCTCACACCAGCACAAGTCCATCGGCTCCGCTGTGCCGCTGCGGCATGGTGTGTGGGGCGGAGGTGAGGCAGGAGCATCCCATGCTCAGCCCAGCCTGGGCACGGTGTGACCCCTGGAGCTGCCAGCCTGGGAGCATCCCCGGCCTCGGCCATCCCTGCCCGGGCAGCGAGGCAGCGCTGAGCCCCTGGCCTGAGCACTCTCATCCTCCAGAGCGGACTGGCGCTGGGTGTCTGGCCAGGGGCTGCCCTGGCCTCCCCTGGGCGCCTGTGCCCACCTGGCTGCTGCGTCCTGGCCAGGCTGGCTCCACGCTGTGTCAGCAGAGCCCGGCGCTGGGTCCTGCTCTGCCAGCAAAACTCAGTGTTTCTGGGCTTAATTATCCTGCTCTGCAACCAAGCGGCTCAGGGAAAAGCATCGTGTTCCCGTTCCACGCTGCATCCCGGCTGGAAGCGCAGTGCTGGGAGAGTCGGTGCCCGCTGCTCTCGCAGGCACCCTGTGCCACTCGGCTGTCCCTGCCCGTGTCCCCTGAGGTCACGTCTGTGGCAGAGCCCGTACCGGTGCAGCCCCTCGCACGCCACTCGTATCCCTGCGCAGAGCGGCGGCGACGGTGCCTGTGACCTACTTCGGCTGCAGCCCAGCCCCGTCCCAAGCCTGTTATCTCGTGGCCATTTATTGTATTTGCTAATGAGGCCCCGCGCTCCGATGGGCCTTTCGCTTTCCCACGTACCCCGACACCATTCCCAGCCCTTGGAAAGCCACGGGAGAGGGAACGGAGGCTTCTTCCTGCTGGCCTCTGAGAACGCCCTGCAAATTAATCCATGCAGCTCAGCGGTACAGTGTCTTAATTCAT